GAGGAAATCTTTTAGATTAGAAAGTTTTGAAGGGTCATCACCTGTGAGAAGTATGTCATCGACATAAACAACAACAATATAAATTCCAATATCTATCTTCTTAAAAAATAAAGAATAGTCGCTAAGAGAGTGAGAATATCCTTTGAAATTGAGTGCACCAGTGAGTCGTGCATACCATTGCCGGGAAGCCTGTTTGAGGCCGTATAAGGATTTTTTTAACCTGTAAACATGATTATTAGAAGGTGAAGGCAATCCCGGGGGGAATCTCATGTACACTTCTTCCTGTAGATCACCATGAAGAAATGCGTTGTTGACATCTAATTGAAATAATTTCCAATTCCTTTTAACTGTAACAGCTAAAATGCATCTAATAGTGGTCATTTTCACCACTGGACTAAAAGTCTCAGTGTAGTCTATTCCTTCCCTTTGTATGTTCCCGTGGATAACTAGTCGAGCTTTGAACCTTTCAATGCTTCCATCAGATCTATATTTATCCTTATAGACCCATTTACAAGGTAAAGGTTTCTTGTCTCTCGGTAGTTCAACCACATCCCAGGTTTGATTGGTTTCCAATGCTTGAAGTTCTTTTGCCATTGCCTCCTGCCAACTAGGATGTAAAACTGTCTGGGATAAACTTGTAGGTACAATGATATGAGAGATAGAGTTAAGAAGTGATTGGTTTGTAGGAGAGAGGTCTGTGAAATTCATAGTAGTAGGTGAGATTGGTGCTGCAAGACAAAAATTAGTTAGATCAGTCAAGTGCACAACATTGCATACATAATCTGCCAGATACGACAGTGGATTGTATTCTCTAGTAGACCTCCTTAGTTCAGGTTGAAGTGGAATGGAAGATGGAGAGGAAATAATTCTGGAAATAGGAGATGAGTTAGGAGATGTGCTAGGTGAGACTGTTGGACCAGAATATGAAATTGAAGAAAATTGGATATCAGATTGAGAGGGGTGATTGAAGTCTTGAATAATAGAAACTTCTTTAGGAAAAATGGATGGTTCAACTGAATGAGAGAAGAAAGGGGATATTTCCTCGTAAAAAACTACATTTTGTGAAATAAAAATGTCCCTAGAGTGAAGATCCAACAATTTGTAGCCTTTCTTTCCAAAAAGAATATCCTAGAAAGACACATTTTATTGATTTAGGCTCAAGTTTGGCTCTATGATGAGGTAAAGTAGAGTCATAACATAGACAACCAAAAAAATTTAGAAAATCATAAGATGAAACTTTTCCAAAAAGAATTTCAAAAGGTGTTTTGAAGTTAAGCACTCTAGAAGGAAATCGATTTATTAGAAAAGTAGCGGTTAACAAGCTATCACCCCAATACATGGTGGGGAGATTAGATTGAAATAATAAAGTCTTGCATGTTTCTAGTAGATGTTTGTGTTTTCGCTCAACCACTCCATTTTGTTGTGGTGTAGCGACACAAGAGGTTTGATGAAGGATTCCATTAGAAGAATTTTTTTTTGAAAGAATAGATCCTGATCCTAATTCCAAAGCATTATCTGAATGAATGATTTTAACTTTTGTGGAAAACTGTCTTTCTACCATAATTAGAAAAGATTTTAGAACTGGAAAAGCATTACTTTTTGTTCTTAATAGGTAAGTCCAGGTTCCCCTACTATAGTCATCGACTATAGTCAAGAAATATCTGTAGCCGTCATGAGTTGGGATCTTGTAAGGTCCACAAGTATCAACATGATGTGTTGATGTTACTTGAATGAAAAGACAATTTTGCCTGCCTAGCTTGAGAACATATATCACAAAGATGATTAAATTTGGCAAGAGAAGGAAAATGAAAATGGGATATATTTTGCATACTAGATAGAGGCATATGCCCCAATGTTTTGTGCCATAGGTTTACATTAGAGTTGACTCTAGTAGAACAAGAAACTAAATGAGACATAATGTATTTCCTAAGGTTCTTGCAAGCTGAATAAGATTGAAAACTGATTGATTTTCACAAACTAGACCTGAACTTAAAGAAGCTGATTTAAGTAGATATAAACTTTCCTTTACTTCACCAACTACCACTGACCTCTTCACTGAAGGGCCCTGCAAGAATGTACCAAAAGATGAGAAAAGTAAGGTACACATGAGTTGTTTAGTGAGTGTGCGAACTGAAATTAGATTAAACTTGAAATTTGGAACATATAACACATTGTTTACGGTTAAATCTGGCAGAACATGCACACTACCAACCTTGACTTTATATGAATTTGGGAGATTTACGTATAGAGATTTGGCTATAGGTTTGACATTAAATAAAATAGAATAATCAAAAGTCATATGTTCTGAAGCTCCAGAATCAATTATCCAAGAGGTAGAATTTATGTTAGGAAAACAAGAAAGACAATATAGATTAGGAGTATTAATTGTTTTACCAGCACAGTTGGCACTGACATTTGCATATGAAATCTGCTCATCCTGTTGCACCTTTACTTGTTGAAGAAGTTGATAGAGCTGACTATATTGTTCTTGAGTTATGCCTTTGCATGCTGTATTTTCTCCCATTGTATTTGCTGACTGAGTTGTGTTTTCTTCATGCATGATGGTTGCATTGCTGTGAGGCCCTCCATGATACTTTTTTGATTTGGTGAACTTGAAAGTGGAGGGAAACCCAATAATTCTGTAACATTTGTCGATAGAATGACCAGGTTTCTTGCAATAATTGCATACCAGGTTATTCTTCTTCCCTTCAAGATTTGCTTTGAACTTTCCTTCTACATTAGCATACCTTTGAAAATGTGCTTGCTGATTTCCTCCTAGAAAAGCATTTTCTACTGGATGTTGTGAAACATGAATTTCTCTTTGTTTCTCATCTTGAATGAGAAGAGAATAGGCTTGATTGACACTAGGAAGAGGGGTAAGCATCAGAATATTGCTCCTTACAGCTGAATATATATCATTAAGTCCCATGAGGAACTAAGCCTGCCATCTTGAAGAGACTTTGAAGTCCTTAACTTTCCTCCACAGTTGCATTCACAAGTACAATGCACACACGTGTTCAAGGTATCTAACTCATCTCATATCTTTTTCACCTTTGTATAATATCCTGCTATGTCGGATGTTTCTTGCACTGCATCACTCAACTCTTTTTGCAACTGATAAAGTTGAGCACCATTACACTGTCCAAATTTAACTTCAAGTTCTTTCCAAATGTCATTTGCAGTTTTAGAATAAAGGACTTTCAGCTATGTCCTTGGATAGAGAGTTCAAAATCCATGATATAACCATATCATTGCAACGGTTCCACTATTTAAAGTCAGTGGAAGAAGCATCTGGTTCAGAATATGTTCCATCGATGAAACCAAGTTTGTTCTTGGCAGATAGCGCAATAATTATGGCTCTATGCCATCCTCCATATCCTTTTCTATCAAAAACTGAATTGACAAGAACCATTCCCGGTGAATCGGATGGATGAAGGTAATAGAGGTGAGTGCAATCGATGACCATAACAGCTGGTTGAGTAACTGTTCCAGCTGCAGAAACATATGAAGAATCATCTATGGAGTTTGGTGCCATTTCAAAAGAAGAGTAGAGAAGACAATTTAAGAGAAGAAGAAATGTAGGCTAGGGTTTAGATAGCTATTGCTCTGATACTATGTAGAAATTTAGGAGAATTCTTCTCTTTTATTGAATAAATGATATGTCGTACATAATGCCTATTTTATACAGTAATTTGAGAATAAACCAGGTACAATTTACAGCTATACAAAAATACAAGTGTCTAATTCTTAATTGTTGTCCTATTCATATTTGCACTATGATATGTACAACTATACATTACATTTGGATTCTTAAATCTGGAAGGGATAAGTATGCTTTCCAACTGTATTCATTGTGCTACATTAAAGAAGTGGACTGAATCTTTAAACAAAAGGTCTAGACCTTAGCTTGTATTTTGGGCTTTTGAGTTGTGTGTTGGGCCAATTGATACTATTGGCCTAAAGCTTATGGCCAATTGATACCTAAATCATAATATGTTGGTCTTCTGCTTTTTAGGTCATTTGATACATTTCTTATCTCTTTCTTTCTTCGTCTTCTTCGACTGTGCCTTCTTGTGTCGACCAGCTTTTGATTTAGGGGCTAAGGTTTCAGATTCTGGTCCAACAGTAATTAATCATCATTAAAATTCTAAATCTAACAAAAACTACTGGGGTACTAATGTATGTAAGTTGAATACAAACATGTACACAAAATATTGAAATTAATATTGTGTAAATTGCTCGAAAATAACAACTCACAATCACACGTGCATTGTCATGTGCTCCACTCCTATACTTCACGATAAACTATCTCGGTGAAATTTTATATAGAGAAGGCAATATCATTGAAGCATCATCTTTTATATTTGCAGATCAATGTCCTATATGCAATGCAGGAGCAAATGATCTACAATCAATTTGACTACATAATCCAAGAATTCTTTATCTACAACTGACAATCGGCAACGTGTTTCCCTCTCCTTTCTTTTTATTTCTTTTAAAGTGTATAACAACACATTTCAATGTTGCATTCTTCTCCTAAGAATTTGCAAACGGTTAAAGTTCAAAAAATAAATTAGACGATTGAATTGCAACAAGACAAACTACAAGCCCCCAACCACTTCTAGATGATCTTCATTGATCTTAACGACGTTCCCTGCATTGGAAAAAAAAGGTTGGATATTGTCAAAATTATCTTCATATTTTTATATTTGAAAATAAATTAACTGCAAACTTTTTATCTTTCCCTTAATGACATGCTTTTATATATAGTCACACGAATGTCATGATATATTTAAGTTCACAAGTTTCAAAAATCATTTATTTCTTTCTTATACTTCGTATCCAGTCAAACAACGTCACATGAAATGGAACGGAGAATGTAAATTCTCAAAATATTACTTTGGTCCAATGAAATTGCTCGGTGGTATATCTAAGACGTTTGGACTATTACAATTTAGAGTGCCAAAAATCCAATACATATAAACCATAAAATGCTCGTTCTTTGATGATATCAAAACAATGGTTTCCATTGTATTACTAGTTTTATTTCTTCTTACAACACCATGTCATGGCAATTTTCAAGACTTTGCTACATGCATGACTCTTCACTCTATTTCAAGTGTTCACTCCCAAGGATCTCTTTCATATATATATCTTCTACAAGCAGCTGAACAAAATCCAAGATGGCTAAACTCAACATCACTACTTAAGCCATCATACATAGTAACACCAAAGACACAAAATGAAATCCAATTAGCCATTCGTTGTAGCAAGAAGCATGGTTTACAAGTTAGAATAAAGAGTGGAGGTCATGATTATGAAGGCCTATCTTTTCTTTGCAAAACCCCTTTTGTAATTCTTGATTTAGTCAATTTTCGATCGATTAGCATCAACTTAGAAAATGAAACTGCTTGGATTCAAGCTGGTGCAACAATTGGAGAATTTTACTATAACATACCCAAGAAAAGTGACATTCTTGGATTTCCTTCTGGCCTATGTCCAAGTGTTGGTGTTGGTGGGCTCTTTAGTGGAGGTGGCATTGGCACTATGATGAGAAAATATGGGCTCTCTGCTGATAATATAATAGATGCCAATCTGGTTGATGCCAATGGTAGAATCCTTAATAGAGAAACAATGGGAGATGATGTATTTTGGGCAATTAGAGGTGGTGGAGGAGCTAGTTTTGGAGTAATAACAGCCTGGAAAGTGAAGCTGGTTCACGTTCCACCCCTTGTCACAGTTTTCACAATTCACAAGAGTTTAAACCAAGAAGGTTTCAAACTTGTCCATAAATGGCAACATTTAGCTAGTAAACTACCCGAGAATCTCTTCATTCGAGTCATTATTCAACAAATCGATGGACCTGATAGTCATGGAAACGCGAAGCCAGTGGAACTCTTGTTCAATTCCCTCTTTTTAGGACTGAAAACTGACCTGGTTTCTATCATGAACAAGAGTTTCCCTGAATTGGGCTTGAAAATGGAAGATTGCGCGGAGATGAGCTGGATAAAGTCTGTTCTCTACTTCACAGGCTACGAAAAAGGGGAGCCATTAGAAGTCCTGTTGGATAGGAAAACACAATACAAGAGCAACTTCAAGGGAAAGTCAGATTTCGTCGTTGAACCAATCCCAGAAGGTGTTTTCCAGGGGATCTCAGAGAGGTTTTTCCACCAAAAGTTGGCTTTCATGATATTGGATCCTTTAGGTGGGAAAATGGATGAAATTTCTGAATCTGAAATACCATTTCCTCATAGGAAAGGGAACCTATACAACATACAATACATAGTGAAATGGGATTCAAATGATATGTTGGCATCCCAACAGCCCTTGTATTGGATGCAAAGGCTTTACAAATACATGGAACCATATGTGTCCAAGTCACCAAGAACTGCTTATATCAATTATAGGGATCTTGATTTGGGAATAAATCAGCAGGGAAATTACTCAAGTTATCGACAAGCTCTGACTTGGGGTACGAAGTACTTCAAAGGTAACTTTCCAAGATTGGTAAGAGCTAAGCATCAGATTGATCCAAGCGACTTTTTCACAAATGAACAAAGTATTCCTCCTCTTTCTTGTTAGTACAAAGGAAACCTAAAACTAATGTGAGTTCCCAGTTTCCCTATAACAGTTTACATCTTATCGTTCAGCTAAAAAACAAAATAGAACTGTTCAACTCCCTCTAAAGTTAACTAGAAAATCACTGAGAACTATGAAAATGGTCACTGCTTGAAGAGCATATTTGCCAATACAAAAACTACTTTCAGTTCAAGCAGTCATAAATGTAAGTCATGCAAAAGATTACTTGTCAGTCCTGCATTCTAAGAATGAAAATTAATATATGAAATCAAAATGCTGAAGTAGAAAGATTGAGAGAAAATACTGCCTTTTCATAGCTCGAGTTGCATTTCTACCCCACGAGCTTTTACACAGGATGGTATCTGGATGCCCTTCTGCTCTAGCCTGTGTTGCTAGATGGATCAAAATTGCCTATGCTAAAATAGCCAAACACTCAGATATTACAATCTAAGTAGAGGCTCCAAATTAGAATTAATACCTGATATCGATCCAGGGTCGTTCCTGCCACATATTGGAAGCACTGGTAGAGTACCTTCTATCTTTTGCTTGAAGGGATAATCAGACCCAAAAGCACATAACTTTACAAAATTATTTTTCAAATGAAGAGTGACAAAGTCCCAATCCAGGCTGTTTGCTCTTAAAGTTTAAGTCAGAAACCTGCATTGCAGGATAATCTTATCAGTAAAGAGAACATCCGGGCAGTCGTGTGCATGAATTTGCAAGAAGGAGAATGACAAAGAACCACAATAAACCAAAATTCAAATGGTAGGGAACATCAAGGTATGATCAACCATTTTCAAAATCCACGTAACGTTTTTTAAGTAACAAATTACAGTAAACAATAAGCATTGACAAAGTCCTCTCGACAAACACGTAGCACACACACTAGGCAATAAAAAGAGAACGTCAGCTTTCAGCAAGCCATAAGAATGATTTCTCAGAATTAGCATTTATAATTAAAGAACACGTAAATATTCAAATAAAGAAATTAAAGGCTCAGTGTATAAAATCCAAGCTTGCTACTACAGACAGTCTATCTCAAAATGAGAGACCTTTGTGAGGCCATATTCTCAATTTCTCCAAAATAAGAATGATGATTTTTTTTTTTGGATAACCGGGAAATCACATATATCCGTCCCTCTACCCTTTCTCCACCCAATTACCGGACATAATTCACACCAAAATTAGAACTAGCGACGTGTGTCACATATTCGACAGTATACTACTCAGTAGCGAAGTGACATGGTTATAAAGGCCCTTCTTAGAAAAATCACCCTTTATCGGAAAGCTTTTTTCGCTTCTTTCAAATTTAAATATCTAGGGAAAATTCCTACATTCGCCACTGATACTACCCACCTTCAATCATTGAACCAAACCCAGGAACAATATGGATGAAGATTTACCTTCTCGTCTTTGCAACAAATTTACCAAAAACCAAATGCCAAAAAAGTGACCTTTGTGTGTACTCTTATTATTTACGTAATTACTTTGGAATAGGAGAAATTGCACGTCATAGATTTTCCCAATAGTTCCATCTAAATTTATTTCAAGAAGCAAAGTAATTCCAATTCAACTACAAAAATTGGTAGAAGTTAACTCTCCAAAAGAAAACGGGACAAATTTGATTTTTTTTTTAAAAGTAATTTATTTAAATTTAAGAGAGAGAGAGATTCTTTTGGAAAGTAAAAAGGGACAAAAATTGTTAAAAGGTGAATGAACAAATGTTCCTATGCTTCTCTAATCTCTTCCTAAGTTCAATTTCACAAACCAAAATGGGTGTCATTTTGAAATCAAATCCAAACTAGAATATTCAAAAGTATATTTTTGATAAGACTATATCAAACTATTTTTTGCTAAGAGAGTACTCAAGCTATATTTTGATAAGATAGTACTTTGTTTGGACATGCGCAACGGAAGCAAGCATAAACACATGTATCACAAACATGTAAATTAGATAATGATTTAATTATAGAGATTAGAAATACTAACATCTCGAAATTGTTGCATAAATCATTCACAAAGCAAGAATCCAGGTTTGTAATTTTCTACTATGCTCCTCGTATATCCTTGGACGAAATTATTTGTATGGACAAATAATACTACTCTAAAAAGTGAGTTATTAGGTGAAACTAGTCTTCCATTTGTAGACCCAAAATTAAGCCAAAGAACATTCCAAAAATCGTGTAGGATTATGCTAGTGTAGTAGAATCCTAGTCCAACTCAAACAGATAACTTTTCTTCCAAGTCATTTTTTACCCAAGCCTGTCAATGTTTTTACTAGATATAGCATGGATCACATAAATAATAAAAGGCTACCAATTATAGTATTAATTCAAAATTCGAATGAATTAAATCCTACTATATTTAATCACAGTTTATTCCACTAAAAAACTGCAATTGAACTCCTCAATATGAATTTCGAAATTCACCAACACTTATTTTAGCTTCTCATATTAAGATTATAAATACTAGTTAATTAAACTAAATCATCGAAAATTTAATTTAATTAACTAATAAAATCCTTTGTAATTCCACTTAAACTATTTCATGTGACGGATACAAAATCCACCGGTCGGGTTTTCACATAAAAACTTATAAGCTTACATAAAGAGGTATTATCAAACTCAAGGTCGAGTCACGAATTCTATCAACTAATTATTATTTCACATTATTCGTTATTTTCCAATCTATTAGGCATATGCTAACTCTGAATAGAGTTGTACCTTTCGATAAATCAAAAGAATAAACAAATCATATTGATCATAATAATTATATCAAGAATAGAAGTATAAGCTCATTCAATGAATCGGAGTAAATGTTTTATATATATTTAATACAAACATATCTTTTCTCTACTTGGTCCGTTCAATATACGCTAAGTATACTAGCACAAGAAATTGGAGTAAATCCATAATCAAGATAAATTATACTTTAATATTGTGCTACAATCATCAAGATATCTTGCCCAACAATATCTTCGATTATGAACATAGTTTATTAATTATGAGAACTAATAATTTAATCTTATGTGCATGAGCTATGACTCCATACACTAAGGCGTCTATTACATAACTAAAGGATACACATATAATAAATGATTTATTTAAAATAATACTTTATTGAATTGAATAAATTGAATAAACAATTGTACCGTAAAGAATAAAATATAATATTATAGTTAAACCTCATGGTTAATACTATATGTGGCAAAATGGTTAAAAGAAAACAGTTATCCACCCATATTATCCATAAAAAAAATGGGTTGGATAATGAACCATTTAAAAATGGGTCGAATATGGATAAAGAACCATATTATTCACTTAGAAAATGGTTAACCAAATGGATAACTAATGTGTGTAAAGCCCCAAATTGGAGTTCCTCAAGTTTGGCAGACTAGGAATTCTCTCATAACTGATCATATTTAAGAAGCCATGGATAATATGGATATCCATATTATCCGCCGGATAAACTCATTTTTTATCCGTCTCAAATATGGGTCGGGTCGGATAATTTATCTGATTTTTTTTTAATTACCCGTTTTGATCCGCTCATACCCGATCCGACCCGACCGTTTGCCTCCCCTAATTAATAGTATATCCCAACATACTTAAGCTATTTTTTGATAAGAGCATACTCAAATTATTTTTTGATAAGAGAATACTGAAAAGGTAGTTTCAAGTACCTTGGATCGGTTATTCAGGGGATCGGGGAGATTGACGAGGATGTCACATACCGTATAGGGGTGGGGTGGATGAAGTGGAGGTTAGCGTCGGGAGTCTTGTGTGACAAGAAAGTGCCACCGTTACTAAAAGGAAAGTTTTATAGAGCAGTGGTTAGGCCTGTCATGTTGTATGGAACTGAATGTTGGCCGGTAAAGAACTCACACACCCAGAAGATGAAAGTAGCAGAGATGAGGATGTTGAGGTGGATGTGCGGGCATACAAGGATGGATAAGATTAGGAATGAAGATATTCGAGAGAAGGTGGGTGTGGCCCCCATGGAGGACAAGATGCGGGAAGTGAGACTCAGATGGTTCGGGCACATTCAGAGGAGGAGCACTGATGCACCGGTGAGGAGGTGTGAGCGACTGGCTGTAGTGGGCACGCGGAGAGGTAGAGGGAGACCTAAGAAGTATTGGGAAGAGGTGATCAGAGATGACATGGCACGACTTAGGATTACTGAGGACATG